AACTATTCCTTACTTTCTGAGGAATCGTCACATTGATTTCCAAAGTGGCTGTGCAAGTTTGCACTCTCACAAGCACAGAATAAGTATCCCCTTTCCCCATATCCTTGTCACATGAACTGCTATTTGTTTTTGTTGTTGTTGTTGTTGTTTTGTTTTTGTTTTTGTTTTTGTTTTTTCGAGGCAGGGTTTCTCTGTGGCTTTAGAGCCTGTCCTGGAACTAGCTCTGTAGACCAGGCTGGTCTCGAACTCACAGAGATCCGCCTGCCTCTGCCTTCCAAGTGCTGGGATTAAAGGCGTGAACCACCATAGCTCGGCTGCTATTTGTTTTATTGGTCTTGGTCATTCTGACTGGTATAGGACAAAATCTCACAGTAGTTTTGATTATCATTCTCTGAAAACTAAGAACACTGACCACTTCTTTGTTAGACATTTGTGCTTCATCTTCTGAGAACTCTGGGTTTACTTCTGTACCCCATTGTTTAATTGGGTTTTGTTTTCTTTATGTCCAGTTGTTTTGTTGTTGTTGTTTATATATTTTAGATACTCGCCACCTATCATCTGTGTAATTCGTAAAGATCTTCTCCCACTGCATAGCTTGCTGTGAGAGGTTAAGCAATTTGTTTTCTAATTTTTGCTTTTTTTTTTTTTCAAAACAAGGTTTCCCTGTATAACCCTGGATGTCCTGGAATCTATTGTGAATTTGTTGGCCTCAGATTTAGACATCCACCTGCCCATAATTTCAGAGTGGTAATAATACAAGTATACACCACCACACTTAGCTAAATTTATTTACATTTAAGATTTTATGTTTCAGTGTCATACGTGAGCACTGTATCTAAACTACTTCCAACCCTACCTTGCCTCATTTCTGCCCAACTTCTTTTGAAATTCATTATCTCTTCTGCATATAAAAGCTATTGAATTTAATTAGCATCACTCATGCTGTATGTGTTCAGACCTAACCATTTAGGGCTGGGCAACCTATGTGTGAGCTCACCCACGGAAGTAATTGATTCTCTCTCTCTCAAAAGCCATTGACCACCTCTAGTTATTCTCTTAGGGATGAGACCTTATTGATGGGCTGACTAGTATTATGATAACTTGACATACAATCTAGAGTTATCGGAAAGGATGAAATCTCAATTGGGGAAATTCCCTCATAAAATTTGGCTTAAAGGCATTTTCTTAATTATTGATTTATTGGGAAGGGACTAGGCAATTTTGAGTGGTTTGATTTCTAGGCTGTTGACCCTGATTGTAAAACAAAGTAGACTGAACAAGCCATAGGACCAACTCTGTATGTAGGCAATACTCCTCTATGGTCTCTGCATCAGCTCCTGCCTCCCAGTTTCTACGCTGTTTGAATTCCCATCCTGACTTCCTTCAATGATGGACGACAATGTGGAAACGTAAGGAAATAATCCTTTCCTTCCCAACTTATTTTTGGTCATGGTGTTTTACTGAAGCAGTAGAAACCCTGACTAAGACAGCTGACATGACAAGTGGTGTGGTCATATTTTGTTGGTCTGTTCAGACAACTATATTCTTGAGAGTTCATGGATGCATTCCCCTGTTTTCTTTTCGTTATTTAATTTTTCCTTTGATGTGGACTGAAAATACATGTATTGGGGGGTTAAGAAATATTTAAAATATAATTCAAAACTACATAAGTTTAGGAAAATTGCTTTAGTAGATACTTAGCACCTACAATGACTCCAGCTGTGAGCAATTAGCTAGGTAAAAGACAAGAATTTTCTTTTATCAAGCAAGCTTTTTATTCAATTAGGTAGCTGATGACAAAATAAGCAGTCTATTATACCATTAGGGATATCTTGCTAAGCTAATCATTGTTGTGATCACAGGCTTTATAGCTGTGTAGTAGTACTGTTTGCTCCAATTCCTTGGTTCAGCCACTATGATAATCAGTGTGGAGTAGCTTCCACAATATAAAAACAGATCTACCATAGATAGATCCATCAATACAACTCCTTGGTTTATACCAAAAAAATAGATAGTTATAGTTTTCTTTAGTTATGATAAAAGATAAAGTAAATAGAAATATTGTAACTGTGATTCTTGCTTGATACTTGTTTTGTTCTATGGAATTTTACTATGTTAAAGTTAAAGCCTCCCTTTTTGTTTAAACAGAAAAGTGGAAATGGTGAGGGAGGTCCTTCTGTCTATGTGTTGCTTTCATTGGTTAATGAATAAAGAAACTGCCTTAACCTGTTGATAGGGCAGAACTTAGGTAGGCAGGGAAAACTAAATGGCATACTGGGAAAAAGAAGTCAGAGTTAGGAAGAAGCTATTGAGCCACCAGAGACAGACACTGGGAATTTTCCCTGTAAGCCAGAGCCACATGGCGATATACAGATTAATAGAAATGGATTAAATTAATATAAGAGTTAGCTAATAAGAAGTTAGAGCTAATGGGCCAAGCAGTGTTTTAATGAATACAATTTCTGTGTGGTTATTTCGGGGCTCAGCTAGCCAGAAGGCCGGGATGAACAAGCGGTTCATTCATCCTAAACTGTAACACAGCTCTCAAGGACCAGTCTCTGCAGAGAATATCACACGCTTATCATGACATCACCCACTCTGACAGATGTGAACAAACATAGCACAACCGACAGGAAAAGGCAAAAAAAAAAAAAAAAAGAAACCCTCAACTCTACAACTAAAAATAAATAGCATGAACACAAACAATAGAACAAGCAGGAAAAGGTAAAAATAAACAACAATAAAAAAGCAGGAATGAACATCTATCTAAATGAGATAAGGTACAAATTAGCAATTAATCATAGAGAGCATGACAGCAGATCCAAACCTCTCCTCCTCCTCCAGATCCAACCTCCTCAGTCTCATTTCCCTGTCTGTAGTAGAAACTTTCAGACACTCTCCTTCTCCTTGCTGCACTCATTTTCAATGAATCACAGAGATTTTCCCCTCTCATCTTTCTTTCCCCATCTCATCCAGTTATCCCACCCTCCGACACCAGAAGTCACTGGAAACACACATGAAAAGCAAACCATTGAAACAGGTAACCAATTTAAGGCATTCACCCATCCTCCTTCCCCTCCTAATCAAATGCCCCACTCTCATCCTTAGCTCTAGAGCAGGGCACCAGCTGCGGTCCCCACCACCAGATTTTTTGTGCATCCACTCCTAACCTTCCTCCCCCAACTCTTGTTCTATCCTAGCCCAACCTCTTGCTAACCCATAGGCCACAGGTGATACTGTAGTAGGTGGGCTGTCTGTAGATCATCTGTTTCCTTTTCCTCTAATTAAAGCCCCCATTATAATTAACAACACAATAGCAGACCTTCTGGGATGACTTCTTTCCACTTCCCCCATTCAAAAGAGACTGAATAAGCACATCTGGGTTGAACACTCTGCTCTCCTACCTCCTGTGAACCCCGTCAGGCCCCCTAACATATCACCATTCCTGATTATCAGCTCCCATTACCCAGAACTGGGTTTTACTTAGATCAACCAGTGCCCTCAATGAGATCAAATCCAAAGATAATTTCCTACTAGACGGCACACAGGTATCAATCACACTTTCTGAAAATCAAGAGAGAAAACAGACACCAGGGAACAAAACAGCCACCAAAAAAAGACAAATCCAGAAATCAGCACCTAGACCTATAATCAACTTAATACCAGAAGCCAAGATGCCAGCATAGAAACACAATCAATAAGAGACAGGGCAATATATTTCCATTTTATCTAGCACACCCTGAATATTCCAACATAGCTAAAGTATGAGAAAAAGATTTTAAAACTGCCTCTCTGAAGAGGTCCTTAAAGATGAAATGAGTAAGCCCCTTAAAGAAATCCAGAAAATCACAAACAGTTAAAGGAAATGAATAAAACTGTTCATGATATGGAAAAGGAAAAAGAATCAATAAAGTGAATTATGGAAAAAATTATTTCAAACAGGAACTACTGAGATAAGCTTCACAAACAGAATACAAGAGTAGGAGAGAATTCAGGCATTGAAGGTATCTCTTTTCTATGAGGTTCGGTGTGGTGGTTTTATGTTAAGGTGTTTGATTCATTTGGACTTGAATTTTGTGTACATTAATAGATATGGATTTATTTTCATTCTTCTACATGTTGATATGCTTTATTACACCTTCATTGGTGATGGGAGTACAAAGTGGTACAGTCACTTTGGATATCAGTATGGTAATTTCTCAGATAATTGGAAAACAACATAACTCAGGACCCAGCAATACCACTTTTGGGTATGTACCCAAAGGAGGTTCAATTATACCACAAAGACATGTACTCAACTATGTTCATAGCAGTATTATTTGTCATAGCCAGAACCTGGAAACTACCTAAATGCTCCTTGACTGAAGAATGGATAAAGAAAATGTGGTACATTTACATAACGTATTTTTTACACAGTGAAAAAAAAAATAATGACATCTTGAAAATTGCAGGCAAATGGATGAATCTAGAAAATATCATATGTAGTGAGATAACCCAGACTCAGAAAGACAAATATCATATTTATTCACTCATAAGTGTCTTTTAGACAAAGCACAGAGAAAAAACCAGCCTACAATTCACAATCCCAGACAAACCTAGACAACAAGAGGACCCTAAGATAGACATAAATGGATCTAAATGTAAGTAGAAAAAGACAAAATCTCCTGAGTAAATTTGGAGCATAGGAGAGGATAGAAGGGGAGAGGAGAGGAGAGGAGAGGAAAGGAGAGGAGAGGAGAGGAGAGGAGAGGAGAGGAGAGGAGAGGAGAGGAGAGGAGAGGAGAGGAGAGGAGAGGAGAGGAGAGGAGAGGAGAGGAGAGGAAGGAAGGGGAGGGGAGAAAACTATATTGGTCAATAAAAACAATTTAAAATAAATAAATAAACAAAATGTATTCTGGTGTTAATGAGTCTTTTCCCTGGGAAAAGTTTCATGTTTATAGAGTCTGGTCAAGTGTTTTCTGATTAAAATTTGCAACAGGCAGAAATTTTTCTGACTTTACCTCCTCACAGGTAGTTCTGAAATCCATGTGCTGTGGCACTCAGAAGGATGTGGTCTGCAAAGACAGAAAGAGTGAGCTGTTACAGGCAGCACGGAGGGCAACACAGAGCAAAGCACAAGAAGCCCAAACACTGCTGTGGGGAAAGTATAAACAGCCAGCTAAAAGAAGCAAAACCCTAGAGAAAGGGAGACATTAAAAATGTTCGCTTCAACCTTTGGCGAGGTATGAACAACTGCCAATCATGTGCAATGGAGAAATTCCAGGTCCCTCCACCTGTCTTCTTACAGGATATTCGGCCATGTGATTAGGCTCATTTCTCAGGCTCTTCCTCATTTGTGCCATTTATTTTGAAACCTCAGTCTTTGAGAGGGAGAACTTCAAAAGGTATAATTAAACATTGCCTTTCATCTGCTTCTTGAATGAAAGGTGAATTAATTTTACTCTTTGTAACTGAGATGTTACATGCATGAATTATTATCTCTGGAATTTCAACTTTTATTTAGAAAATTAAGCAATAAAGTAAGTTACTCATCAGTTTGCATGATAATAAGACAATTGAAAAAGAAATATTCAACATTTCACATAGAGGTGACTGTATAACTATGCGATGAAGACAGATTTAAATGCATACAATGTTTTAAAATTTTTATTTTAGCATTATCTTTCCAATATATTTTGAAGTTAAGAAAACTAAGCATTTACAAAGAAAAGCATTTCTATATTATAAAATAAAAGTATCCAGCTAAATGTAATGATTACACAAGGAAAATTTCAGAGAAAAATGCTTAGTCTTCAAAATAGAAAACACTCCACTACTTAAAAATTACTGTCTTTGAAGGAGTAAAACTCTTCCTCCTGTGTCACAATGTGTTGTGTGAGATCAAGGAACGCTTGATCAAGCAAGTGCAGAAAAACAGTGTGAGAAGAGCCTTCACTCTCATGATTGCTTGGCTTCCACAGAATTGAAATTTGCAATTATCCAGTAAAAATAAATAAAAAATAAATAAATAAACAGACCTAGGTATTTTATGTGACATATAAAGTATACAGAATATGTTTTGTGGATGTAAACCTAATTTTATTTTACTAAAATAAAAGAAGATAGTTTGTCCTATACTAAAACAATAAGAAATCATTAGACATTAAAAATTACAGTTACAAAGTAGCAATGGAAATAGTTTTATGGTTGTGGGTCATCATAACCTGAAGAATTTATTGAGGTGCAAAAGCATTACAAAGGATGAGAAACAGCAATTTAGAGGGTCTTGTTTTCTTGATACCCTCCTTCCCCTCTGAAGAATATAATCTTGCCACTTCCTCTTCTGTGGCATTCCCTGAACTCTGAGGGTAGGTATTTGATGGAGACATCAGATTTATGGCTGGGTATCCCAAAGTCTCTAACTCTATGTATAATGTCTCTATATTTCTACCCACATGCCCATATGCTGCAGGAGGAAACTTCTCTGATCATATGAGAAAAAAGCACTAACCTGTGAGTATAAGATAATACCATAGGAATCACTTAATCACTTCATTTTTTTCCCAGTTTTAGACAAATAATATTTGGTATTGCCCTGGGTCTCTGGTTCTTCATCACCCAAGCAATGTTAAGTATGGTTCTTATCTCATGGGTATGTATAATCAGTTATCAGAAAGTTACTTCCACAAGTGTTGTGCCACCATAGCCCTAGCATAATTTTCAGTAAGGACATCATTGTAGATGAAGATTTAAAGCTAGCTTGGTGTTTACATTTCTTTTTTGATAGTGTGCAGAGTACCTTTCTGTGCTGAAGATGCTGAAACATAGTGGTGAAGCTATTGGCAGTTGATAGCCATTGGGAGAGAGAGATTTAGTTTTCTCTAGGAGTATAACCTATGATAGTCGACCATGATCCAGCAGCAGTTCACATATCCAAGAATGTTTGGGCAGCACAAGTCAGTAATGTTTTGCAGGAACTTAAAACTGAAGAGGAGTAGTGATCTGGGAAGGGTCAGGGGATGGTGGGCAAATATGATCAACACAACTATGAAATACACAACGAAGTAAGAAAATTATTTAATAAAAATGGGGTCTCATGCATAAAGCTGCTTTATTCATCAACATATTTCAGAGGAATGCAACTGAAAGCTTACTATGAAAATAAATCTCCATGGGGTTGTGTGGAAGTGGAAATAGATTTCATCATTGAAGTTAGTGGACTCAAACAGACAGGCAGGTGAAGAATCAAAGATATGCCTATTTTGGAAAATGATGCTTGTGGACCCACCCATCCAAAAGAACTGGCTGACAGCTTTGGTTAGAAAAAGCAAAAGGAAGAGTGTAAAAGCCATTCTGCAAAAAAGAAGGCAGGGAGGTTCTGATGTACCCAGCACTGAATGGAATGGAGCAATGTGTTTATACACCTTGATAGTTCAATGAGTTTGTTTGTTTGTTTTTGAGATTACATAATAGTATTTTATTTTATTAGTTCTTAAAATAGTAAAGCATCTGTGGTGGCACGAGGGAGGGAAATATGTCCTCCCCCTCTGCCCCTCACCCATGCAGCAGGTGAAGGATCTGGCCAAGGGGTCCTGGTAAGCAGCTTGCTTGCAGTGACCCTGGGTGCTGGCTCCACCTTCTCTCTGCTTTTCAAAATGGCAGACGTCCATTACCACCAGCTCTGGGACAGCCAGGTAGGAGCCGTGCTCACCACTTTAACTCTGAGAAGGAGCATGAAGCACATACACCCTTTTTATCTAAGCAATAGTTAAATCTGCCATGCAGCACAATGCACGACCTGGAAATATCTCTGTGTACAGCGGCAGAAATCTGCCCCACTCTCCTGCCTGTGCACGCCTAATAGACCTGATTCCGCTGCCTGCCCAGGCAGGAAGGAAGCACTGAGCCATGGGCATGGTCTCAGCTACTTTGTTTCAGACCCCAAGTGAGCACACAAGCACCAGGCCCACAAACACCATTCAAGTGTTTGGCCTCCTGTAAGAGCCAGAGTTCACACTGGCAACATGGCCCAGGGAGCCATCATTTGAAACCCGCATGGTTTTGTTTTGTTTTGTTTTAGCTACTACTGCTAAATGAGGACGACCTCTCTTAAAGGAGCTGCAGTATCCTGCCAGCTGGGGAAAAAAAAAGTGTGGCTAAACTTTGCCTTTTTGTGTGTGTCTAGGGTTCCTTGATAAGCTTTCTCAGGTTTTACATGGATACAGTAGACCTCATTGGAGCACCAGTTTATAGTAGGAGGCCACTTATTTGTTTCCTGGCCACCCAGACTCCTGAAATAACCACACAGAAACTCTATTAATTAAATCACTGCTTGACCTATTAGCTCTAACTTCTTATTGGCTAGCTTTTACATCTTAATTTAACCCATTTCCATTATTTTATATTTTACAATGTAGAACTGTAAGAGAATTCTGAAGCCATTTCTAACAACTCTCAGTACTTCCCCTGCTCCCCTGGGAAACAAGGACATAACAGCTATGCATGCACGTACTGAGATGTTGGGAACTTTCCATCTCCCTGAATAGGGGCAAGATAACCCTTAGGTGTTGACTGAGTTACTGATGTTTTGACTCAGCCCCTGGGAAAGAGGCATAGTGACCCTCAGATGTCTTTTAGCCTCCCGACTGCTGGAAGACCCTGTCATGACAGAATTAATAAAATCCTCATGCTTTTACATCAGCTGTGACATGAGAGATGGTCTCTTGGGGTGACTCCTCCTCGGTGATTGGACACAAGGGTCCAACAACCATGAGGTTCGTGGCCTACTAGCAAGGTTCCAGCATGTTGTCTCTGGTGGCAACTCCATGGCTTCTCCCTGACTCCGCCTCCTTTCTCCCAGCATTCAGTTTAGTTTTCCCCACCTAGCTCTACTCTACCCTATCACAGGCCTATGACAGTTTCTTTATTAACCAATGCTATTCACAGCATACAGAGGGGGATCCCACAGCAAGCCTGTCAGTTATTTACACTGGACTCTGTAGTTCATCATTTTCCTTATTTCTTACTAGTATTGTGTCTTCATTTCTAAGCTACCTAAGTTAAAATGACTTTCTATTCTCCAGGAACTAATCTGTGTGACAAAGGAAAGCTGTTCTGGGATACGGACAGATGGGAGTCTGGAGGAAGATAATAGATGACAGCATAGGATCAGTTTCAGGATCACTGGGCATTGATTTCCATTTTAGTCCATTCTGACTACCCAGAAAAGCGATGTTAATGTATTAGGCACTCTACCCAGCTTGGTCATGCGAGGAGAAATGCCAAGGGAACTCTACTGACTTCAGAATGTAATTTTGTACTGACTTTCAAAAATGATTGTGCATGGTGCTCTGAGAATTACTATTACCTCCAGGACACAATGAAGCCTTTCTCAAAATCCTGTCTCTGGAAATATATACATACTCAATAACTTAAATCCCACCCAATGAGGGACTGGAATGTTTGGGGGCCGAGACAGTGCCCCATAGATAAATTCTGGTTGAGGAACACAGATTAAAGGTACGGACACTCGGGCTTAGAGAACATCTGACAAGAGACAGTAGCAAGAGGGTGTTGCTCTGAGATAATGCCAAATGGTGAAACCCAGCAGTTGAGAGAACAGCAGAAGAAAAAGAGAAAGAAGAAAGGTCATGTGACTGGTCTTAGCAGCAACTTCAAGTGCAGTACAGCATGAAGCTCCTCCCCGATGCTTACGATGATACAAGAAGCAGAGCCAGAGCCAGCTCATATTGTCCCTAATTGACATTAAATTTGTCAGAATAAACCCCAGTACGGTACTGAACACAGATTATCTTAGTGACTTCCACTGAGTTACATTAGGATTAAGCAACAGATTCAAGAGCATTTTGGTCTTAAAATTTTTTGGCGTATGCAATGGCATTCAAGGAAAGATTTAGAGGTTGCCTCCCATCAAGAGTAGAATTAGGTAATTTTTTAAAAGTGTTGAACTTAGAAAGACCATCTCTTTTCCTCTTCCCACCTTCTATGCAGCAAGTAGACCCTCTCCAAATTCCAGGTATCTTACTTAGACCCCTCAGCCCCAAAAACTGCAGAA